TCCCCTTCCCCACCTCTAATATCATTAACTCACTGGCATTCACCTCCTTCCCCCCGCCACATCCCCCTTCTGTTCTGTAATGTGATTTGTTCTTTTCATGTGTGTTCATTTTTTTTAAATTGTATCCTTTGGTATATATGGTTGTGACTATTTTCTTCCATTATTTGATCTGAGGAAGTGGGTTTGGCCCACGAAAGCTCATCATCTAATAAACCATCTTGTTAGTCTTTAAAGTGCTACATAGACCTGTATTTTGTTTCATGTATTTTCATGAACACAAACTCTCTTTATTTAACAAAACTGGGGAGGACGGGGATGAAACTCTGGTGAGACTGGGGAAAGGAGAAGAGAGGGTGGGAGAGGGGAGGGGGAAACCTGGGAGGAGGGAGCTAGAAGGGGGAAGCAAGGGGAAGAAAGGAGAGAGGAAGCTCAGGGTTGGGGCTCTCGCCAGACCAACTTGATTTTCATGTGAACCTGCTCTTGAGTTCGCATGTGGCCTTTGGTGGCCAGGCTGGCAGCTATCCTGCAATAGATGGCCGTGGTCCTCCATCTAGTGTGGAGATCATGGACTTTGGGGGCATCCCCCCAAACCTGAATAAGGTCCATGATCTCCACCCTGGACCAGGAAGGCGCCTGCCTTCTCTGGGCCCTGGCAGGCTCCTGGGAGCTGGCAGACTACTCCTGGGGAGCAGTGGAGGGCTGGCTGCCAGTGGTTTGCTGGCTCATGTTTTGGGGCCACTGGATCAGGGGCAGTGACTGCTGGCTCTGGGCTGGCAGGCTTGGAGCTGGCACAGGCACTGTGGCCAAAGTCTACCCCTTTAAGGGCTCCAGGGAGTGGGGGAGGGAAAGGAGAGTTCTTGGTTGAGGCCAGAGTGGCCACCCTGGGAAGGTGGGAGGCCCCCTATTTCGAAATAAGTGTCTACACAGCACTTATTTCAAAATAGCTATTTCGAATTTGGCATTATTCCTTGTAGAATGAGGTTTACCAAATTCGAAATAAGCACTCCGCTATATCGAATTAATTTTGAAATAGTGGTTTGGCTGTATAGACGCTAGGAAAGGTATTTTGAAATAAGGGCTATTATTTCAAAATAACTTTTCTGTGTAGACATATCCTTATTGATTTATACCCATGATGTAGTCTCTGTTCAGTGCTCATATTTTCCTGGATGCCAAAAAACCTAGATATCCCTTATCCAGATGCCAAGAAGGAGCCTTCAGTTTCTTCCTGATAACTTCTACAGTGTTATATGACGGTAATACAAAGTTTAACAGCACATTACAATATATGGAAGCGGAAAAGTTCAGTTGAATACCAAAAAACCAAGGTTACTTACCTGTAACTGTTGTTCTTTGAGATGTGTTGCTCATGTCCATTCAACTGAGGTGCGCCCGCGCAGTGTGCAGAGTTTCCAGAGCAGTTTTTCCCCTAGTGGTACCCGTTGGGCCGGCAGGTCACCCCCTGGAATGGCACCGCTATGGCGGAGCAAAAGTACCCCTGCCGGCCGGGGGGGAGGGGGGGGAAATCGAATGGACATGAGTAACATATCTCGAAGAATAACAGTTACAGGTAAGTTTTCTTCGAGTGATTGCTCATGTCCATTCAAATGAGGTGACTTCCCAGCTAACCCACCGGAGGCAGAGTTGGAGCCACCTTTTTTAGCTAACAGAACAACCACACCGGTATTCAACGAAAAACGAAAACTTTAATCAAGAAGTGCAATCATAGAACATAACACAGAAACTCAAAACAGGTAGGTACAGCAGGCACGTAACACTACAGTGTGCCACTCATAAGTTATAGGCAAGTAACCTTGTTTTTTAGTTTGAGTGGTTGTTCATGTCCATTCGAATGAGGTGACGTCCAAGCTATACCACTGGAGGCGGGGTCGGAGCCACCTCTTAGCGAAAACAGAGCACGGACATGGGTACGTAACCAAGAACCAAAACTTTAATTGAGAACGCAACCAGCAGAACATAGTACAGGAACTCAGGAGAGGTATGTACAGCGGATAAATAATACAGCAATCTGCCTCCTTTTTTTTTTTTTTTTTTTTAAACAGAATGGTACCTAACACAGTGGAACCCAACGTGGCATCCTCCCTCGCCTGTTGGGTGAGCATGTAATGCTCTCTGAATGTATGAATGGAGGACGATGTGGCCGCTCTACAGATCTCAAGTATCGGGACTTAGGCCCCAAAGGCCACGGATGAAGCATGTGCCCTAGTGGAATGTGCTGACACTTGGGGCGGCTCCCTGTGCACCAAAGCATAGCATTCCCGAATAC